CACAGTGTCTCTCATAAAATGCTGCCAGACTTTCATCAGGCCTCTGGAAATGCTCAGAGGTCTTGGCCATATTACTGGGCTTCTTGGCCTCAGCCCGGAGCCCCTGGAGGAAGGCCAGACAATATCTCTTTAACCTGGCCCTCCCATTCTCCAAATTTGGGTCCCATCTGGGTTCCACATCTGGTAGCCTCCATGGCCCATCTCTCTAATGTCCCTGGCGGGACCTGGGTTTGGAGCCATTTCCAAGCTTCTGTTATTATTCTCATGCATTCCTCAGTGTTAAAGAGCATGAGAAGGAGTTGCTTGCAGTCGACCCAAGTGGGCTTCTGGGTCTGAAAGGTTGGCTTGAGGTTTTTCAGAATAAGTGGGAGTGTGATGCTTCCAATTTAAGATATTGGTCATAGTGAAAGGCTGGTAGTAAAAGATCAATCCCCCCTCTTGTGGGGTCCTGTTTTCTCCAATTATATGAGGACCCTGCATTTCTTGGAAAGGCATCTGGAAATCCAGGAGTGGTTCTGCGCTCAACTGAGTGCAAACGTCATTCAACTGGTTCTGGAGCAGTGGTTCTCAACCTTCCTAATGCCGCACCCCTTTAATATAGTTCCTCATGTTGTGGTGACCCCAACCATAAAATTATTTTTTTTGCTACTTCATAACTATAATTTTGCTACTGTTATGAATCGTAATGTAAATATCTGATATGCAGGATGTATTTTCATTGTTATAAATTGAACATAATTAAAGAATAGTGATTAATCACAAAAACAATATATAATTATATATGTGTTTTCCAATGTTCTTAGGCGACCCCTGTGAAAGGGTCGTTTGACCCCCAAAGGGGTTGCAACCCACAGGTTGAGAACCGCTGCTCTGGAGAGTCCAGTTGCGGGGAGACAGAAGGAGGTGGTGTATCCCTGGCTAGGCAAAGGGCCACTGGGTACTGCTTGAGGCACATATGGAGGTGGTAGAACTGGAAGGGCTTCCTCAGAGGGTTCCTGCAGAATAGGTGGCTTATTCTCCTTCTGAGGGTCCTGCCCTTTTCCCTTATATACACAAAACCAGATCCAAAATGGCTTAAGCTCTGCTATTTCTAGCCACTGGTCAATATAAGGGAACTGGTCAGGATGACCTGGGTCTCCTGTGATAATTCTGTGAACATGCCTGATTGTGGGGAAATCCAATGTGTCCTCCAGTTGCCACCCTACTCCAAAAGATCGCCAGTCTATTTCACACATCCTTTTTA